TCTTTTCTGACTACAATGGAATTAAATTTGGAATCAATAAAAGAAAGATACCTTTTTTTTTAAAGATTTATTTATTTTTATACAAGAACCGGGGTACAGGCCAGATGTACAGGAGGGTGACACGATTCACCAGGACAGAGCAGGGAGCAGAACAGACAGACTGACAAAATACACTGCTGAGGGGAGCAGAGGGTGAGACAGAAGAGGTCTGCTGCACCATGTGGGATTCTCCCAGGCTGGCCGAGATCAAACCAGCGCTGCAGAGGCTGCGGACAGCTTCACAGTGCGGCGCTCAACAGCCTGCACCACCAAGGAGGCCCGAAAGATATAAAATTCCCCAAGTATTTAGAAATTAAATAGCCCTTTTCTAAAAAGTAAAGGATTAAAAATTAGAAATCAGGGCCTCCCTGGTGGCGCAAGGGGTTAAGTCTCAACACTAAGAAGCTATCTGTAGCCACTGAAACACAAGGTCAATCCCCAAACAAAGAGGTGACACACATGGCGCAGCAGACCTCTCCTGTCTGGCCCTCTGCGCCCCTCAGCAGTGTATTTCAGTAGATCTGAATGTTCTGCTCCCCACTCTGTCTCTGGTGAATCCTCTCACCCTGCCCGCGCCCACCCTTCCATCTCTGGCCTGCACCCCAGTTCTTGTATGCATAAATAAATAAATCTTTAAAAAAAATTAGCAAAGGAATATTATAAAAATTTTCATGGCAATAAACAACTCTGATGAAATGAACAAATTCTTCAAGACATAAATTACCAAGACTGACATAAGAAACAGAAAGCTTAAATAGCCCTGCATTTTAGGATTGCCAGCAACTGCCAGAAATAGGAAGTGGCTAGCAAGAATTCTTTCCTTGAGCCTTCAGAGTGAGCATATGTCCCTGCTGTCACCTTGATTTGAGATTTGTAGTTTCTATTCTGTGAAAATACTCTTGCTTTAAACCACATGGGTTTGTGGTGATCTGTTATGACAGCCCTAGGGAACCCACTATATATATGAGAATATATTTTGAATACAGTAAAACTTAAAAGGGTATTAAATTTAATGTCACTAATTGTTAATTCTAGTGGGGGGCTACAAGAAAATTTTAAATTACATATTTTTCCTACATTATATTTCTAGTGAACAGCACTACTTCCTTAGTGGGAGAAAAGCAAGGAAAAACAGACAGCATACTAACCATAACCTGTCTCATCTTTCTCTACAAACATGATTATGCATGAAGAAAACCCTAAGGTAGCGACATAAAAGCTACTAGGACTAAAAGGAAAATTTAATAAGATACAGAGCAAAAACTGAAAAGAGAAATAAAATGAGCCACAATTGACAAAATTTACCATTTACAAAAGAATAAGTTGCTGGCCCCCCCTGGTGGCCTAGGGGTGACCCTGGGCAGCTAACCCACATATGGAGCCGCAGATCTCTCCTGTCTCTCTGGCTGCTTCCCTTAGCATATTTCAGTAAATCTTATACCCCAGTTCTTCTATGTATAAATAAATAAAAGAATAAGTTGCATTTTTATATATTATCAACAAATAAAAAAAGAACTATCAATACGTCTTTTTGAATTCCTTTAAACATGTTATATTCTTTTTCAATTAAAAGTTTTCAAGTGCAGGGCCTCCCCGGTGGCGCAGCGGTTGAGCGCTGGGTTGCGAAGCTGCCCGCAGCCTCTGCGGCGCCGGTTCGATCCCCGGCTGCTCCCCGGCCACCAGAGGAGGGTCCCACATGGCACGCAGACCTCTCCTGCCGCCCGCTGCTCCCCTCAGCAGTGTACCTCGGTCCTTCTGCCTGCTCTGCTCCCGGCTCTGGCTCTGGTGAATTCTCTCACCCTCCCGTGCTTCTGACTGTACCCAGTGCATGTACAAACGAAACAAACGAACAAACAAACAAATAAATAAATAAAACATGCCTCTATAAAAAAGAAAAAAAAAAAAGTTTTCAAGTGCAACATTAAGCACTATTCTACTTAAATGTATTCTGTACTGACTTAAGTAGGAAAAAAATAGGTTTTTAAATTACCTAACTTCTTCGCACAAAATACCATTTTTAAATTTCAAAGGATAAAAGTATTTCATTTGGGGATTTACTAAAAACTGATGTTAAAGAGCTGCCATTTTAATTCAGCTATAAAACTTTTTCCTCAAATTCTAACTCTTATATAGGTTATCTCAATTCCAACAAGACACCCCATTAAGACAAGTCTGCCAACCTGACAACATGAAGTAGATACAAATTACAGCACCAGTAGAAAAGATAAAATTTTAATTCACAAGATATATGCACCCCCGCCCCCCAATGTTCACAGCAGTATGATCACAATAGCCAAGACATGAAATTCACCTATCAACAGATGACTGGATAAAGATGTGGTATATATACTCAATGGAAGACCACTTAGCTCTTTAAAAAGATGAAATTGTGCCTTTTGTGGCAATATGATTGGAACTTGAAGATGATTATGCTAAATGAAATAAGTCAGAAAACAAAAGAGAATTACCAGATGGTTTCGCTGATTTGTGTTATATAAATAACCAAAGAAATTAAACTGGAAAAACACAACAAAAATAACTGTAAGACTGAAAATACAATGGTGGGGGAAGAGATATAAAGGAGAGGAAGAGCTAATGTGACATTGCAGTGGTACAGGAGCCACTGTTAGTGGATGAGTGAAGCAGGTGTACACATTAGGCTGCAAAGTTGTACTCCCAAAATTAGTTATGTAAATAAGTAGTAATCACTATAATATAATTTAAAATAAAGAAAAATATTACTTTGTGTATTATGAAAGCATATTTGCCCTTAATATTTAAATTTCATCAAGCATATTATATTGGAAACTCACAACATAACAAATTTGTTTTGCAAATCAGACCAAATGAAAACTTGCCTCTGACTCAGCAGCTTTCCTTTTTACTTTATAACCTGTACTTAAATTGCAAGGTTAGGACTGACACCTAACTGTCAAACTGAGCAGCAAAGCCAATGAGCTACCAATATTTGCCTTGGCAGAAAGTAGCAAAAATATGAGATGTTTCGGCCTTAAATGGTAGATATGTAAAAGCAAACTGCACCTTGCAGGATGATTATCATGCAGTCCCGTATATAGCTACAAGTTAGCATTTCTTGTAGATACTTAACTTGTTTCTTTATAGATAGCACCTCAACCAAATCACCTTCCACTTCAGACATCATGAATTGTTACAGCCTAAACACCACTGCAGTTCCATGTAATTTAAAACATTTGCCTTTTAAGAACAGTCTCCACACACCAACTCTACTGCCAATTTCTTCAGCTGTAAGCTCAAGTTTATACCACAGAATACCATATTTACGTTCAACACCAGAATGCACCGTTTAAAAATTATACAGGAATAAATTTACTCCAATATACAAGTTTAACATTTCTAACATCATAGCGTTTCTATTGTCCAAATTAACAAGTCTACTCAGTAGTACACTTAGTATGGTGCTACATGGCAAAGTCATCAGTTCACTAAAATCAGTAGGTACAAAAGAGCACGTCTCTAACCCCAACAAACTATTTTGCAGAAAATCCACAGTAGATACCAATAAGGGAAAAGTGTGGATTGAGTTTGCCATTATTAGAAAAAGGAGTCAAAGCAAGCTTACGTAATAGGCAGAACATCTGCATGAATACAAATCTAAGTTCATTTCTGAGTTTCCAGTCTCAAATCAAGAGAATTTACCAACTTTAAGCAGGAATACAAAGAACAAGTCAGAAAATAAAATACAGGATTTTTTCACATGGTTACATTTATCAAGAACAGTATCCTTTAATGCTCAGAGATGTTTTCCCTTTTGCAACTAACGTTGTTGTTATCACATATAGAAAAAAATCATACACTGCTCTGCACTTCAAATAACTTAAAACACATGATCATCTCAAATCGAATATTTCTGAGAACGCCTTAGCACTAACAATCTCCCCGATTTTACTATACCCTTCACTTTCCAAACAGGGAAGCCAGAAAGGATGATCTATTCCTACCAAAAGTATGTGTGGCTAGAACACCGGTTTGCACGCAATTACGCAGGTTCCATAAATCAATTTCCCAAACTTCAATGCTTGACAATTTCTCTGAGGCAAAACGAGGGTAGATTACTAGAGATGACTTTCCCTTGCCTTTGCACAAGTGACCGCTCTAAATATTCCCGTGTGAAACAAACACCTAATGGGGCTTGGGGAACACTATTTAAAAACTGGGTCGTCCCTTATTTGTGCTCAAGAGACATGGTCTTGGGGAGGTAAAAGATCTCTGAAGCAGAAAAAGGGAGGAAAAAAAAAAAAAAACCACATGAGGGCATCTCCAATGCAGAAGTTACAGCTCTTTACAAGACTTAGCACCAGGGGCTCATTAGTCGGTTTTATTTGTGTTTAGTCACTCGGAGTTGAATGGAATCTGCCTTCTTAAAAAGCCCTTTGCAACAAAGACGCCCTGAGGAATGGCCACTGTAAGGTGGAGGAGGCAATGCCCTCAATTCACCTGCGACACACCTGCCGGACCCCTACTTCGCCCCTCTTGCCTCCACCCCACTGTCCCCCGCCCTTTCTCCAGGGCCCTGGCCCTAGATCACCGCACGCAGGGTCCGTGCCTGTTCCAGCCGCACCCCAAGACCCAACACCCCGGCGGCCCTGACCCCCGAGCTCCCTCGGGCCCAGATGCCTCGCGCCTCCACGCGAGTGGCCCTGAGCAGCACGGGCGGCGGCGCTGGAGGCCCTTCCTGGCGCAGCCTCACCCCCATCCTACCCCACAGGCACTGGGGACTCCCCGCCCCCGGAAACTGCAGAAAACTAGGCCGGGAGAGCCAGCCCCAGCCTCTCCCCGCCTCCTCGGCGACCCCCCGCGGGCCGGCCATTGGAACCCAGCTCGCAGCGCTGCTACCTGCCCGGCGCTGCCCTCCCCGGGGTGCGGGCCGGCGAGGCGCAGCGCCCGGCCGCCCCGCCACGGGCCTTGCACGGCGGACTCACCTGTCGCCCGCTCCTGCCTCAGCGGCCGCCCGATGCAGACCCTCCCGGGCGCATGAAACCGCCGGCTCCGCGGCCTGGGCGCCCTCGGCAGCGCCGGGCGGGGACTCGCTCCCGGGGCCGCCGCCGCCTGCACGGGCCGCTCTGCGCCTGCGCGGCCTCCCGGGCTGGGGCTCCAGGGGCGCAGCGCGCAGCGCGGGGTAACGGCCGGGAGCCGCGGCCGGCGCCAGCTCCGGGGCGCACCGCGGCCGGGGGGTGCGGGCGGCGGGTCGCCTAGGAGCTGCCCGCGGCGCGGCCGCCCCGACGGCGGACGGCCATGTTTCTGTTCCCGTTTTCTTTTTCTCCCCCTCCTTCCGCCCCTTTCCACAGACCAGCACTTTCCCTCCCCCCCCAAACCCCTTTCCGACTGCGGGGGCGGGTGGAAAGGGCGTGGGGGAGGGATGGGGGAAAGGGAGGGCCGGGGGCGGGGCGGCGCGCCAGTCCCGCCCCCGGGGAGGGTCGTGCCCGGCGGCCGCGGCTGCCCGGCCCTGGCGCGTGGGGGCCCCGCCGGGCCGGCCTGCGGACCGCCCCCCTCCGCCGCGGGGCGGTGGGTCCTGAACGGAAAAGAAACTGGGGTGAGGGACCCCGGGCAATGTTTTACAGCCCTGCGTGCAGCGCTCAGACGGGCGCTGTTTGTGGGTGTATTTGCTTTGACGTGTGGCAGGTGGCGGCTGCTCCACCTGAGATTTTCTTTTTCTTTTTTATTTTTTTGGAAGATTTATTTATGCATGCAAGAACTGGGGTACAGACCGAGGTGTGGGGATGTGAGGATTCACCCGAGTGGGGAGCAGAACAGGCAGATTGAGGGAAATACACTGAGGAGAGGAGCAGCAGCGAGTGAGACAGGAGAGGTCTGCTGTGCCGTGGGGGTAGCTCCCTGGGCGGCTGGGGATCGAACTCGTGCTGCAGACAGAGGCTGCGGACAGCGTCACAGATTGCTTCTGAATCCCTTGCCTCACCAGGGAGGCCCTCCATCTGTGATTTTCAAGGACGGGGAAAGTGACGCCAAGTGGCGCAGTCACTGGGTAAAGTATCGGTGGATGAAGGTCTTCGGAACAGAAGCTTCATTCTCAGAGGAAGAGTTGGGATTCCTGGCCGGGAATCCAGACCTGCCGACTAGAGCTGCTCGAAGCCCCGTCTCTGCTGCAGCGCCCCTTTGAGAGTCCTTGGCCGCGCTGCGTGTCGCTTGCTCGGCCGGCTCCGAAAAAGGAAATCGTGGTTTAAGTAAGTCTTCCCCAGCATCCGAAGTAAGTGCAGCCTCCTACACAGAGGCAAGCATGTTCGATCTCTCGATGCAAATTTTGCGGTCTAGTTCTGGAGTTATTGTAGTGAGAAAGAGAGACAAATTAGGAGAGCTTTTTTTTTTTTTACCCCCTTGGCAAAAAAGAGAAAGTTGGCCAGTGACTTTGCAGATTCCATAGCAGGTCAGAATTAGAACTGGTGAGGTTTGTGCATCTCTGGTGAGTGTCCCCATGTAGAATAGCCATTTTCCTGAGAGTTACTCAGTCCTTATTCAATGTGGATTTTTGCTAAAAAGTGTGAAATTGCACTTAAATCATAGTCCCCTGTTGTCAATACTTCTGAAATTTATTGCATGTATGAATAATAGCAGAAGCCATTTTCCTAACCACATTAACAGTCAGAATCTGTTTAGTAGAAATGCACAGCAATAGAGAGAAGGGTTATTATCAACAAGAGTTTTCAGTCACAGTGGAAACCAGCGCCTTGACAATGACAGCCTGGACAGAACTTTTAAAAGGAATTTTAATGTATCAAAATTTAGCTTGTGGACTTCTTGTCCTTCCTCAAGTGCAAATTAATTGTAAAAACATTTAATATAAAAAAGACTTCTTAATGGATACACTTCATTAGCAGTAATAGATTTAGAGCTTTTTCCTCTTCATGGTATTTTGCACCCACAGAAATGAAAATAAATTGGAGGAAATCAGCAAATCTCTTCATTTGATTGACAGGTTTTTTTCAATTTGCAATGTAGGATTTTAAAATGTATTTCTTTCACTGTCATAGATTTTTATTGCCACTTTCTATTCAAAATGTCATAGACTAACCTTGAGTGTTTGGGTCATTATTATTTATTTATTTATTCATTTATTTATTTATTTATTTATTTACATCTTTGTTCATTTTTACATAATGTCTGATTTATCCCCTCAAGTGTAGTCCCCATAAAATTCCCACCACCAAATTATCTGTGAGCTGTCACCACAGGCTCTTGTGATTTTCCCTCCCCTGTTTGGTGGATCATAACTTTTTAAGGTTTCTATTCTTAGGTCTGGAAGGCCTTGATTCATCAGCCTTCTCAACTGCACTCTTAAATGTCCATGGCTGAAATTAGTTCATTTTCATTTTTACCATAAATATTTGACTATCTGGGGGGCTCACTGGTGACACAAGGGGTTAATTGTCAACACTATGAAACTACCAGCAGCCACTGCAGCATGAGTTCGATTCCCCGCCAGGGAGGTTACCCACATGGCGCAGCAGACCTCTCCTGTCTTGCCCGCTGCTCCCCTCAGCAGTGTATTTCTGTCACCCTTCCTGTTCTGTTTCCCACTTACCTCTGGTGAATCCTTTCACCCTCCCACTCCTGCACCTCTGGCCTGCACCCCAGCTCTTATAGGCATAAATAAATAAATCTTTAAAAAAATTGACTATCTACAAAGTGGGAGTAATCACTTAGCTCACCTAGGAGGAAAATACAGACATTCTAGTAGAATTTCTTCATTGCTTTCTGACTGGGCAGGGTTATTGTCTGCAGATTTCTATGGATCAGTAATGCAAATGAGTTGAATGGAAATATTAAACATTTCTTTAATTTTTTTAAAGATTTATTTTTATTTATTTATGCACACAAGAACTTAGGTATAGGCCAGAAGGTGAGGGGGGTGGTGAGAGCTGAGACTTTAACACCTGTGCTACCAGGGAGGCCCCAATTTCCTTAAATAAGGTATTTTTTGCAGCATGTAGGGCTACAGCATGCCACATTATTTTCATCTGTTTGTGGCCTTCAAAAATTTATAAGGGCTTACCTGGTAGCACAGGGATTAAAGCCTCAGTGCTAGCAAGCTATTGCCAACCACTGTGGCTTGAGTTCAATCCCAGGCCACATGGTGCAGCAGACCTCTCCTGTCTTGCTTACTGTTCCCCTCTGCAGTGTATGTCAGTAGATCCACCTGTTCTGCTCCCTACTTTGTCTTTTGTGAATCCTACCTCCCTCCTTCCACCACCTCTGGCCTATACCCCAGTTCTAGTATGCATAAATAAATAAAACAAATCTTCAAAAACTTCTAAATATTGCTTTTTACAAGAATATTCAAAGATCTTTATATTTCTATACTTTTTAATCTGTGTTCAGCTTTGTGTTTAGCAGAAGCATTATAACGGTCCTTTAATCTGATTATTGTAATAATTGTAATTTTTAAAAATTATGTTCATTGAAGTAACATTGGTTTATAATAATGTTATAGGAGTATAGGTTCACATCTTCACAAATGTAGGTTTTCACACTATTTTTGTAATTTTTTACAATCTGAATTCCATACTAGATTGTAAACTTTGTAAGAACAGGGCTCACATAATGTTGCATATATGTATTAACATGACATGTTATCTTTTGGATCCCCAATCCTTAACAAAGTAACTAATATATTATAGGTTTTAAAAAAACAGGTGATGGGCCTCCCTGGTGGCGCAGGGGATTGAGCACAGTGCTGTGAAGCTGTCCGCAGCCTCTGCAGTGCAGGTTCCATTCCTGGCCAGCCAGAGAGAAACCCACATGGCATGGCAGGCCTCTCCTGTCTTGCCTGCTGCTCCCCTCAGCAGTGTCTTTGGTCCATCTACCTCTTCTGCTCCCCGCTCTGTCTCTGGTGAATTCTCTCGCCCTCCTGTGCCTGTGGCCTGTACCTCAGCTCTTGTATAAATAAATAAATAAATCTTAAAAAAATATATATGATCAATGACTAAAATGGAACATCCTAAGATGCCCCCATTTTCTGCTACTTCCTCCTTAGGCAAGTTACTTTTTCTCATCTAAGAGTGGGTAGAATGATATTCCTAAGAAGGGAGATCATCAATTAATTTACAAAAAGCTATAACAGACCAATACCTCTGGCAGACCTGAGCAGAGTCCCCAGATGACCTGCTCCTGATAATTTACTCACAGAAACCAGGAGATGATAAATATTTCTAGTTTCCAGCTGCAGAATTTGGGGAGTGATTTGTTACCCTGCACTAAATAACTAATACAACACAATAATACCTAGAAAATAGCAAGTGCTCATTAATGGTAGCTCTTCTTTTACTAAACATAACTGAATATAACAGTATCCTATAATGTTCCTCCAAGCTTAGTTTAATACCTTAATAATAGCTGTTGTAATTGTAGTAAGAGAAGCAGAAAAGTAGACTTTATCTGATCTCTTATTTGTAGACTATCTTTGTTCCAAGAGAATTCATTAAAATGTATTTTATGATACCTAGGATTTGCTTCAAAATAATGAAATGGAAGTGGGAATATGAGTAGTTGGGCTTTAGTAAGAGAAAATTGACATATATTAAAATGAAATGATTAGTAATTGAAGGTTCCTATGTTCTCTTATGTCTTTTTAAAATTTTCCATAATAAAAAAGTTTTAAAGTATTTCATGGACTCCTAGTTTGGGGCCGAGGAAAATCTTTAGAGATCATCTATTTTAACAAACTCATTTGAAAGATGGGGAAATTAAAGTCCAGAAAAACTAACTGACTTACCTATAGTTTCCCAGTCTCAGTTTTGGCAACTTCATAGTTGAGTATCTAGGAGAAACAACCAATTTCATAGCTTTCTATTTTACCAAGTAGAATAAATAAGTTGCTCCGAAATTCCTTCTATAGCTTTCACCTCATGAAAATTCAAGCCTCCTCTTCTTTGCCAATGTATAATCCACATGTTGCCGACAAGCAAACTGCTTATAAATTCATCAATTTTTAAAAACATTTGAAGACTCAGTGCATCACTCCTGCAAGACTTTTTAGTTTGTTTTCCAGAAAGCATTTTAAAAAT